GAACTTAGCGGACATAGCACTGCCGCCCCGCCGCCCGCAGCCGCCCCGCCGCTCAGAACCGGCTTCCGGGCGCAGGGGGAGGCCGAGGCGGCGGCGAGTGGGAGCATCGCCGGGCCGCGCCTCCGCCTAGCCAGCTGCCGACGACCGGCCGCCCCCGGGGAACCAGCGCTCCCTCTTAAAGGCGCCCGCCGCCGTTTAGGCCGCGAGGTGGGGGGAGGCGCGGAGAGGGCGGAGGCCAGGAAGCGGGGAGGGGGCAGCCGAGCGCCGAGATCCCAGGAGGCCCCTGCGCGGCCCGGCCCCGCGCAACTCGGGGCCCTTTTCCGGGTCTTCGCTCTCAAGGACCCGAAGTCAGTCTCCATCCCGGCTCCCCTGAGCAAACTGGGGGTGCTTAAATGCCAGCCTGCCCCCACTGCGGCGCTTGGAGCCTCGACTCTGCTCCAGCCGCCTTAGCTCCGCCACACTCGCCCCCAGTTAGCTGCTCCTGTCGGGCCGCCCTGCTGGCTCATCATCTCCCAACACAAGCCCAGACCCTACCAGGACCCCTAAAGGAGTCCTGAAGTGTAGACACTAGGCACATGCATAGCTTTGCTCCATACTCTTCAATAGCCAGTTGCCGGGTGGCCTCTAACTTGATTGCTAGAACCACTGACTTTCATGAACAGATCGCCAAACTGAATTCCAGGAAGACCCTCCAATTCCACCTTCACACCTCAATGGTCTACTTTTGAAATGCTACTTCCAAATCATGATTATATTTTCGCAGCCACCGTCAACATTTGTGATGACTGTTGAGGCCATAGCAGAGTGGAGGGCCCAGGCTCAGAGCATCAGCAGCTATCCTGATGGCCCAGCACACCACAGTAATGGCTGAGCGGCAGAGGAGCCACCCTTCCAAAGCTGTTCTGCCATTCGCTTCCAGCCTTTACTTCCCAGTTGTGTTTGACCTCGGCATCCTGTTGTACTCTGCTTTGTGTTCCTTGGCTGAGGTGGAAACACAGGCAAGTAGAAGTTATGATTCAGCCTGGACATTAAAGCACCAATCCTCACACGATGTGAGTGGCATTTCTAATTCAGACAAAGGCACTTGCAAGGTCCAGACTTGGCCTGAATCAACTCAGTTCTACCCCTGTGGTCACTGTGGAAGAAGACAAGAACAGTGTGCAAGAGGGGGAAGCAACTTTGGTCACCAGATGGAGCAAAATCAAGCCCTAGGCTGTAAAAAAGCAGGGAGCCTTTAAGCCTGACCAAGAGCAGTCAGCAGTAGTGAAGATAACTCCCTTTTATGATAAGCACCTGTATGGTCAGGTTAGTGGGCTATAACAGGGACCTACCTCAAAATGACTTAAGAAAACCTATATTGGAGGTGGGTGGAACTTATTGGCTCATATGCTTATATATCCTAGCAATGTGTGTTCAGAATTCCTTTCGTTTTTCTGCTCCAGATGCTTGAATAGCGTCAAGACTCGGGCTCTTTCCGAATACTGCCTATACCTTCATTGTACTCATTCTGTTGCTCTGAGCAGAGGCAAGAACTATATCTCCAGGCTTATGTCCACCCTCCTTAACAGTTGACTCCTTCTTTAGGAGAGCAGGTCAAGGATTATTCTCATTAGACCACTGGGATCCTGTGCTTATGTCTGAACTAACCATTGTAACCACAAGATGGAATGCATACTGCCAGGCTGGGGTCAGTTACCTAGATCTGAAAAACAAATTTCAAGGGAAATAGCTGTAGTGTCCCAGTTTCTGTGTCCATCCAAAGCAAAAGGAGTTGAAATGTTCACTAAAGGAAAATTAAAGTGTTGCTAAGAAAGGAGAAATACATTGACTAGATAGGCATGATAGATACCCGCCTCAATCTCTTTCTCCAGCACCCACATATACCACCTCTACTACCACCACAGGGACTGACTCCTTCTCTGTCTCCTTTACCAGTAGTCTCAAGATTAGAAGAACTGGGAATGTTGATGGAGTTGCCAGATGCTGAACCAGCTAGCTATGTCCTTTGGGCTCAGGAAACATCCTCAGTGATGTGTAAAAACACAAACGGTATCTGAAGCATTTTGTTTGATGATTTTCCTGAAATTATGGTAACTTTGCCATCAGGCCAACCTACATTCATTATTAGGTTTTGTGTTCTTATGTCATCAACTCTACTTGATAACAGTCTATAGAAATGTCTTGCAATGTGTGGCCATTAACTAGAAAAAATGCAGCCAATGAATAATCACATTGTCCGTGTCTAAGTACACCAAGAATCAACCTCATTTTCACACTTAAATAACTTCTTTAGCTTTTCAGAGATAAAACAGAGGAGTTGAAATGCAAACTTCCAGGCCCAGCAAGATGGCTCAGCACGTAAAAGTGCAATCCTGCAATCCTGAGAAGTTTGAACCCCAGAATCTGGGGTAGAAACAACTTTCAAATGTCGTCCTCTGACTGCCACACTTGTGCCATAGCGTGAGTGCACCCAGACTCTCACAAAAAAAAAATAATCAATTAAAATGTGCCAGCTTCCACCCTTTTTTCCCCACACAGGAAATTTTCTAATAGTCACAGACTTAAAACATTTCATATTTTTCTTCCTTCATTTGTAAACTTTATAGAATTCCTTACATATATCAATGAATCTAAAAGAGACATTATAATAATCCAAAACATCCTTTTCATTCCATGAATGTCTAAGAAATCAAGTTAGAGGTTGACTTGCCTGGGGCCGCATGACTTTTCTCAGCATCAGTAGTGTGCCTGGCTCTAAGAACACAGAAATAATAGTGTAAAACATGATCATTATCCTCAAGAAATAACATTTAGCTAAGGAGACAGCCATCTCAGAAATAAAATGGTTACTATCACATAGTATAAAAATATAAGAGAGTAGATGGTTCAGTCAATAAGCTACTTGTCATACAAATGTGAGTTCAGAGTCCCAGCACCCACACAATAGCCAGGCATGGCAGCATGTGCCTGAAATTCAGCACTGTCCAGGAGTGGCAGGACTGACTGGTCAGCTAATCTAACTGAATCAGTGAGCTCCACATTCAGTAAGAAACTGTGTTTCAAAAAATCAGGTGGAGAGCACTTGAGAAAGACATCTAACATCTACCTCTGGCCTACACACAGCATACAAACAAGAACACATATACACATAAGCATACGAAAATGCAGGATAAATTCTGTCTTTTAAGAATAGGTATCAAGGGCTGGAGAGATGGATCAAAGGTTAAGAGCACTGGCTGCTCTTGCAGAGGACCCAGGTTCAATTCCCAGCACCCACATGGAGGGTAACAACCATCTGTAACTCCAGTTCCAGGGGATCCCCAACACACTGTTCTGACCTCCATGGGCATTGCACGACATGGGTACGTTTAGATACATGCAGGCAATACACTCATACACATAAAAAAATAATATTTTAATTTGTTTTTATTGAAGCTTTTGTGTATTTCATACAGAACATCTCAAACAATCTTAATCATCTTTATACTCCCGTCCCCACCCTCCCATACCCCCTCCCAGCCCATATACTCTGTCATCCCTGCTAAGATCCACTGTGTCATCAGTGTCCCCAGTTGTTCCCCAGTGGAAGTCCATCCACTGAGGTCTAGTCAGCCTATCAAGAATCCCTTGTTTTAGGAAAAATTTTTTAAAAAGTTCCAAAAATATAATTATAAATTTTTTTTTAAAATAAAGCATCATTCCACCGAACTGGAGAGATGGCTCAGCAGTTAAGAGTGCTGGCTGTTCTTGAAGAAAATCCAGATTTGTCCCAGCACCCACATGGTGGCTAACAACCATCCATAACTCCAGTTCCAGGGGATCTGATGCCCTCTTCTGTCCTCCTGAGTATTATACAACACGGATGCACTTACATACGTGCAGCTATAATAACCCTCATACACATAAAATAAATATTTATTAAATAAAAACATGTCACAAGATGTTAACCACTATGGTGAATTGCTTGTTTGGGGAGGGAGGCACATCCTGTGACCTTCACCCAGCACCTTGATACACAAGTGCTCTACCACAAAGCTACATCCTTTGTGGTATGTATGACTCCAGCATTGTTATAATTAGACAAAGTAAAACTAATGTCCTACTTACCAAGAGTCTTTAAGTTTTTACTAGTATTGTTTATTTGTACTTGTGTTTCATGATCTTCATTCGCATGTGTTCTTAGTTACAATGTAAATTTTGTCATATTTTCAGTCATGCTCAAAATGAGCTCAGAACCCTTGTTCTGAAGCCAAATGGGTTGAATGTGAAACTACTTTCATGGGCAAGACATTAAGCAAATACCATCTTTCCAAGAACCGGTTGTTTTGCTGGGTATGGTAGCATATACCCGTTGTCCCAGTAGCTGGAAGGTGGAAGCAGGGAGATCAGGAGTTCCAGGCTAGCTAGAGCTATACACATCAGGCCCTTGACTCAAAAAGATAAGAAAAACTGGGTGTATTGGTGCACGCCTTTAATCCCAGCACTGGAGAGGCAGATGCAGGTGGATCTCTATGACATCAAGGCCAACCTGGTCTACATAGTAAGTTCCAGGCCAGCTGGGGCTACAGGGAGATCCAGGAGAGCGAGGGGGCAGGGAGAACAATTTCCATATGTATGTGAGATTTTCACACAGCCAAGGATACATGGTAAAAGCTGTAAATCCTTGTTCTCATTTGATCATTAAACTGAAGAATTTCAATACTGACTGCATATTAAAATCACCTAAAAACTTATTTAAAAAAAACAACACCTACAACACCACTCTCAAAGACTCGGTTTGGGAGATTGAGGCTAGAAAACAGTGAGACTGTTGCTCACTGGTGTCCTGGCCTG